AAGCTTTCGAACCATCGCTTGAATGAGGATTCCATGCAAATATTCAACTTAATCCAGCTAACATTCAATCAACATTTCTGGAAGCAGATCGTTCACGTACAAAAGTACACATATTATCTTGCTATCGCTTAAACATATTCAACCGATTATGTGGGCTTAGTTAAAGACTCTAACTGAAGAATATCCTTAAAAATCACTATCTTTCTTTCCCAAAAGGTATGCCGTATTGTAGATGAGTTCTCCCGATTTCTCATACTGGATGAATAATGAAAATAATTCTTAGCACCTAAAATTCTAAAATTCTAAGGGCTTAATTGTGAATGTTTCTTGTCAAAAGAATGAAAAAATTTTCGTAATTAAGGCAGTTTCACCAACTTAGATTAGTTTCAATTGTTTCATTGATGATAATTGTTGAGTGAGCGAAACGTTTTGATATCCGTCGGTTTCATTTACAAAATATAACCAAAAAGAAAAATTAATTAGGAAGGTATTCACAACTCGTCCACTTTCTTCATAATTCATAACGACTATAGACATGCATCACTTTAACATCTTTAACAGTAAATTCACATCTTACAGTTAGATTCAGTGCTTCTCTCAGAACCGTTTGTCATTGATTCGTTTTGTTCTCATGAGATCAGCGTCGCTAAATTCAATCCTAATTTCGATTGCGTTGTGCCGAACGGTACTGTCAACAAAGTATGAACAGATTCGAAATTTCAGTGAAACAATGGTCGACTATTGGGGTGTTATAGCGATTATATTCTTTTACCTACTGATATTAGTTGTTGGTATTTGGGCTGGTCGAAAAGCGAAAAATGTGAGCTCGATGGTTGAGGGTCAACAAACTGAGGAGGTGATGCTAGCTGGTCGCAATATTGGTACTCTGGTTGGCATTTTCACGATGACCGGTGCGTTTGATTGCTTCATTTTATTTGTGCGTTACGGTGATTTATTCACTCGAATTGAACATCCATCAGTCTGATTTGGAGCATTCAGTATTCATCTCTTACGTCTTTAAGCGAAGTTGAATACTATTCATCAGATAAATTGTGCTAATTA